AATGTATTGTTACGTGCAAACTTGCATTTCATTTGTGTTTCAAGACCACACTCCTGTAATCGAGATATTAATCCGCGAGGTTGATATACAAATATCAACATGTAAGGACTGCATTTGACTAAGGTTATTTTATTATAGCAAGTGCATACTGTGATAAATATAGTATATTTATATCTTGCAACCTGTAGGCGCAACTAAGATAATAACGTGACTACCCTACGCTCCGAGAGACAGAAGGCATTGACACTCCGAGCACGTGGGAGTTGCACTACTTGCCTTGTTATATATAGAATATATAGATAAATCATACTTATCGACGCGGAATCGGCTTAAGGCGATCTGTTTTAACCACACTTGTCGCATTAAGCCGATTCGCCGCCGACGCGCCAATTGTTTCTAAACTAGGATTAGCCGTGGTCGGCATGCGTACGAACGCGATTGAAAGTTGGCACTATGGAGATTGTGATGCGAAACGCATAACGTCTTTTTCGCTCTTACGTTCATAAACATAAAGGTTTTATGCTGTTTAATGCGATTTCGCGTCGATAAGTGTGGTTTAACCCTCATGTAGTTAGTCTATCACGACAATTAATGGATTAATCGCAACTTGAATAAATTCATTACTTAAAATGGTAGCTTCAATTATTATGCTTTATTAAAACTGCTAAGTCCAACCTCATGGTGCCACGATTTCGTTTAACCAAGGTATCCGACTCTTATGGGTACTGTATACGTTTTTACAATAAGTTTCCTGAGCATATATTAAGATTATCATTTCCTAAGTTTAAAAACTACATTCACAATATTTTGATTGAAAAGTTATATTGCAAAATTCAAAACTACGTAGGTATTAGATAAAGATGTATGGAAAGACGACATGCCTCTAGATTCCACACAAATTTGATTCAAAGTGTATTTCATAGCATTTAAGTTTATTTGAAAAGAGCAATCCCTAGAGTTTCTTGCTCGTTCTTCTCAGGGAGGTCAGCGTAGTGAACGAGCAGTAGCTTAAATGTGACGTTTTCAAGTGTAAATTTATTTTACCTATGGAAGAAATGGTTCTTTGATTTTTTGAATTTGTCTTTATTTTTATAGGCTTAGGACATGTATCAAGGACGCAAGTTTATGATGACTTTAAAGAATATCCTGAATTTACAATTAGATGTCTTAATTTATTGCTAGAGGTCTTAACGATGTTGGAAGAAGGAGGATTTGTGGTAGTCTCTACTGCGGACTTAGTAGTTGTTAATTCATTCAAGCTGCAAAGAATATAACCCAAAGAGCCGCGGCCGCTCTTTTCTACAATGTCTACGAAAATATTTAGTAAGCTTCTGGCTGTTACTTCGTCAGCATGGAAATAGATAAATAATCGACTCTACTGCCGTACTTAGAATCAAGGAAAACAATCCATTAGGTTTGATAAATTAACACCCCGTTACAACCCTTTTTAGAGGTACTTTTCGACTACATAATGCGCGGTTGAAAAATGAGTTCGTACAACAAGTTTCAGGATAGTAGACACAAGGAACACAATTTTGGCAGACAAACTAGCATTCGGTTTCCCGTTTTTGGCGAAGTTTAAAAAAACATCGAATACGTCTAACGTTGTTTACTTTGAGGAGTGTTCCCTCCAAGTTTGGGTTAATTGGGTCTATTTGGTAGTGGAATTTCCTCTTATAAATTCCAGCACACCGTTTTACTAGATGTTTTATGTTTGGAAATATAAGAGGTGTATTTAACAATTAATTTTCTTTGAAGAATATGTACGTATAGTCTCAGATTATATACATGTGTACAAATATATATTATGTATACGTGAATGCTTAAAGTTAATACGATTAACTTTAAAATAAAACGTAACATTTATTTTTCGTTGCGCACTCGGATCATTCGGATCGCGATCATTACGGAGTGATGAGTGAGTGAGAGAGGATGAGGAGTATACTTAATAAAATAAGGACTTATGTGCCTCGTCTTACGATATCTCGTTATCTCTCTCTTAGTGGGCTCCTTCGTGCATTCATGCAAAGGGTCGCGAAATTTTATTTGATTGGTCCATCGCATAGGTGACCTTCCTCGTAGTGTAGTGCCTCTACTTTGCCTTGCACGACGTTTATCACTCTCCATCAGGGGCAGAGACCTCCACCGGCTACATTTCAGGCATGCCATTTCCTTTCCCTCCACGACGTGCAGTCTCCTATTACCTTACACCTTACCTTCATACCTTAGGCGTGCAGTCTCCTATGCCATAAGTGTTGTCATAGACACTCGATTCTTAGTTTTTTTGACACGGTCTTTATTAAGGACATCTTCAACCTGGTTGAGATGTAAAACGTCGAGGCCTAGCTTTTCCCACATTTCCTCCCTTTTTACCATAAATTCGTGTTACCTTATTCTATTAACATCAATCCATTACAAATGTCCAAATGTCCAAACCTTCGAATCATTCCGTTTCCCCCATAGTCATTACTCCATCATTCACAAATTACCACAACGCGCTTTTATTAACACTGTTCCTAATACTGTCTTTAAGGCTTGCACCGTACACACACGCATAACGCTGTCGTTTTCTTTTTTCTATACCCTACTACTGTACTTCATTGTTGGGAGCACCTCGTTGAACAGCCAGACTCGTCTTTTTTGATACAACGTATCCTACCTGATTTCCAGCCTTCACTTTCTTTAAGGCCCCCCGTTTATTTTTAAGGCCCGTCGCCCATTGGCGTCCCTACATGCAAGAGCACGACAGCAAATCTGGAGCGGTATCCTTAGGCATGCCGAAGCGTAGTGTCGCGACATCGTGCTCGCGCCTAGCCTCTATTCAGATTTACGTAACATTAAAGCATCGATGAGGCATCCCGAAAGCCGCCAAGGCATTCCGGAGGCTGCCGGCTCTGTATTCCTAAGTTTACCGCAACTTTGTTTTCATAGTTACAACCATCTTTATCATTGGAATTTCATCTATAATGTCATTTCGTTAAGATATACTACTATTTGTCAGTGGCGGCCGGGCTTTAAACTTACCATCTTGTGTTAATAGACTACCCAGATACACAAATTGTTTTAGTTTCTCGTTGTCAAACCTCATAAATTCTTTGTGCAACACTCTTGTGTCTTTCAATCATCATTACTTTTGGATTCATTCCTTTTCTTTTCAAACGCTTTAAACATAACAACTTTCATCTCTTACTGCTGCTCTGCCAACGCTAGAATGTCTTGATCGATCAAGTAACTCATTACTGTGCGTTTCGAAAACTACAATTAAGGGTTATTTAAATAAAAATGAATATTCATTTTTTTACTACAAACGCGTACCAACATCGAATCATATTAGGTGAGATTGTGACCAAACTTGCCAAGGAGGTCAATTTACATAAAGTCTCATTAATTCACAATCCGTAATCACTCTCTTTCAAATCTAATGAATGATTGTCTAATAGCTACGTATACTCTATACGTAATAGTAATAGAAATTGTTGTATAAATAAACATTTTAAATCTTATATCCAATTATAAACGTAGATACGCAATTAACATTATTAGGAAGATCCTTTTTAAAACCGTATGTTGGGAAATTGCTACTGCAAGACTTACTGTATGACGTGGAATATTTAACACGTGACTTCGCAATTTGGAAAGAAAATAATAATAGAACAATAATGTGCAACACAACTAATACCTACTCTGAAATTGGGAAATTCTATGTACTTAGAGTACCAGACCAATGTAATTAACTCCGGCAAAAATAACGATCAGAACTAGGGAACCCCAGTATCGCGGGTGCCATGGACACATACATAGGCAACCAAAAATTACACCCAAACTCAGGAGATAAATAAATGAAGAATATACGAATATTTCTTCCGGCCCGGGAATCGAACCCGGTACCTCTGCGTGACAGACCACCATGGTAACCGTTCGGCTACAAAGGCATTTTAAAATTTAGATAAGTTTGTTTCCTAAATTTGCTCTACCCAAAAATCAAACCAAATACCTTCTTGTCTTGCGTCTATAGTGCTAATCCTTAGGCTATCGGATTGTCGAAAACGTCTGCACATACAGTGTACACACAATACAGTGACTTTTACTTGTCGTATAGTTGAAAATGAGTGCTCATCTGACAAATCTTGCTGGCAAGAAATAATCAATATCAATGATAATAAGTTTATGATAATCTATATCGCCTGTTCATAACAAAACTGAAAGCAAAATGCGACGCGAATCAAACGATCGCGCTAATGGAACGGATGAAAGAAAATTTGTAACTGACGGTGCGTAACAACCGTGTTCACATAGTAAACACAAGAAAATGAGAGTAGTTTCTTTATAGTGAAGTAAATGTGTTCATATGTACGAGATATTATATATACGAAAGGCATGCGATAGATAAAAGTGACTCTGCGTGATTCTCGCTTGTGTGCACATCAGCAACGTTTCTCTAATAATTTGTAAGATTGCGTGATTCTCATGTAATAATACGAAAATACAATGTACTCTATTCACTTACATTAATATAAATATACGAACAAACGGCCTCTGCCTAACGTCTCTACTAACGACTTCCACTCGCTATGTTCCTGCCACACCCGTTCGTTTATTCTTGGTACTTTTGACCGGACCTTTTTTAAGGATGTCCTCAATTTGGTTGACATATGTATGTCAAGGTCATCTTTACCCCAATTTTTACTCGACGCACGCTCTATAAATTTGAATCGTTGTTCTATCTATCATTTCCGTATGATCAAACAATCCAAGCATTCCGTTTTCTACCGTGGTCACTACATCAACGTTCACAGCACAACTCACTCTTTTTGTCTAATTCCTCGTTTGTCTTTAAGGCTTTCGTAACATTTACGCTCATTTTTCCAGTTATTTATATGTATATTTGGAGGTTAACTATAGAATAATTTGTCTGCGATTGCGAACTTACTCCCTTAGACATTCCTTCACTTTAGTGTCTTTCAGCTTCTGTTCTTCTAATAATAATCGTTGTTCTACAGTATGGGCCCGTGAATCCGCTATTCCTGCCAGTAACAGCACCGAAAGCACCCGGCTTCACTGCAGTCGTGCTCACGTACGACCGCGTGGACAGCCTTTTCGCGTTGGTGCGCAAGCTCGTTCGCACGCCTAGTCTCGCCAAGATCCTCGTTGTGTGGAATAATCAGAGGAAAGCACCACCGCCTTGTAAGTACATCCCTTATTATGTCCATATTTAATTTCAGATTTTGTTACCGAAGGTTGGCAACCAAATGGCTGTCGAGGGCTACCTTTTTATGATATCAAGTGATGACGAACAAGTGCGCCTGGTGGTAAGCAACAAACCTATAACAGTTGCAGTTCTACTCAGAGCTTCAAATCAGAAAGATTTGAGAGGTACTGCCATTGCGCCCATCACCCTAAGATATAAAGTGAAGAAGTCCCACGTGCATTTAGTGTCACTAGCAATCTTATCCTTCAAAACCGGAACACTAATAATGCTCACGTTTCTGGTTGAACTCTTCTACAAGGAGCGTACAGCTACCATCGGTACTTTTGAAGAAGTTGCTAGAAACACGATCGTGTTGCCCCGATGATACCAGTGGCGCAGACATTACAGCCAGGGTAACCTTTGGTTGGTAACAGTTTAGTTATATTACCTTGTATGATGAGTTAAATTGTATTATAGTATACCTGCTTCGCTTCTATTACTTTTCATTATACCCTACTTCAAATTTATTGCGCAATAATTTTCCTTGTACAATCAGTTACGATGACACGGTAATGCAATTGGTTATCTATTACAAATAAATTCAAAGAAACACGTTGTCCTTTTGGAATGCATGTTATTTAAAGCAGCGATTAAGAGAGATAATTGCTATTGCGAATGATCAATATCATGTGTCAGGATAGTAAAAGGACAACCCCGAAGGGGAAAGTCAAACTATAATTGCCAAGTCACAGCACCACAATCAATCAATTGATTGAATTCTACGTTTGTTAATTCATGAAACTACTTGCAGAATTCATTACGTGATTGTGGTTCTGGTGATTGTGGTGACTCTATTGAATTTGCAAAAAAAAAACACTGAATAATTGTAGCAATTTATATCTTGAGCTGTAACTCATTGCAATCTCTTTCTATTAATAATAATAATATGCGAGACAACCACACCAATTCACTGGTCTCAAACCCGTGAATTGCCTGTACTATGAGTACCAGAGTAACGAAATTCACTACGGGGCTCCACCCAGAACACCTGGTCGAGAACCAATTTAGAAAGTTCATTTCGCAAATTATCCTGAGCTCACTGTACAAACTGTGGGGCCAACGAGGTCATATAATTATAATGATAAAGTGTCTACCATAATATAATAAGACCAAGTACGATAACTCCATACAAATGTAGCAGCGCGGCTTGTGCGTGTGCATGCACGCGGCGAAGCTTGTACGGACGCATACATTCACATAATCTCGCAGTGCACTCGCATTGCATTGCGCGCGCCATTTATTCAAGATTAAAGAAATTAAACGTTCGCTTGGTGTTTAAAAATTCTCCTTTTTCTTTTTTTTATGACACTGACCTTGGCATCACTTATAACGGGACGAATAAGTCGTGCGCCTGATGGTAAGCGACACGCCTGTCCATAACAATTGCAGTGCCACTCAGAGCTTTAAAATACGAAGACTGAGGGGCACTACCTCTGCGCCCGTCACCGTGAGTCATAAATTGATAAGTCTCATGTTCCTGTAATTTCCCCAGCGCCCTTATCCTTCAAAATCGGAACGCCATAATGATCACATTACTGCTTGCTTGGCGGCAGAAACAGGTAAGGTAACAACCTCTTTTACAAGGAGCTCTATTGCTACAAAAATCATCAAACAGAGAACAAGTACTACACGTGGTTATTGTTGTGTTTATGGTTTTTTGAACAAGAGTTCCTCAAATTCAGAGTTGTTGTCCTTCTCGATACCTGCTGAATATGACAAGTGAGTTGCTCATTTTATTTTACGACCTTGGTTTTCCAGCGGTTAGCACTATGAGCAGGCGTTAGATGAGGAGCTCCCGAAACGAATTTTTCTAAAAATTGGTTCTGATCTGGGTGTGACAGACGTGAAACCACATAGAACGGCGATGATGCACTTTTTTTAAACAGATGTAGCGTGTCATCTTTTTGTTAAACTTCGCCCAGTACGTGACCTTCAGAGTGCATTTTTGTTGAAGTTCTCTTATCATATTACTAAAATAATAATATGACAAACCTACGCTTCAAGCTAAGTGTAGGCAAACGGGCAGGAGTAGCCCTACTTGGCTAAGGCTATACTATGATTCTACTCACAGAACAATACAGTAAGAAGTGGTTAAACTAACCATGGCGTGGCATGTGTGCCAACAGTACGCGAACTTCCACATACTTAAGTTTAGCAGCATCGCAGAAAAATGCCTTATTTCGCTACTTTCACTTGCCTCCGTGGCCCAACGGTTACCATACCGGACTGCCACGCAGAGGTCCCCGGGTTCCATTCCCGGGCCGGGAGAAATATTTGTATGGCCTACATTTATTTCTCTCGTGAGTTTGGGTGTAATTTGTGGTTGTCTATGTGTGTGTCCATGGCACCCGCGACACAGGGTTTCCCTAGTGCGGGGCTATGTTGAGTGTGTGCGTTATTTATTATTATTACTTCGAATTCGTCGTCGTTCAGCTAGTGACCGCTAAATGGCAGCACATTGATTGAAATATCAATATAAAATCATTACGTCGTAACTTGCAATATTGGTATTGAACTTTCAACGGTATGCCAACAGGGTAAAGGTTAAATTATATTAACAAAAGAGCGTTTAAAATTGTGAATGCGTGAGTTTTGGCGACAGCGGCTCTGATAATAATCGAGTCTCAGGCACTTCCATTTTTTTTATTCCGTGGTTCTACAAATATTATAAAGTAGATTTTTTTTATAATATCAAGCGTCGGGCCGACAAACCGTACGCCTGTGGTACGCTACGTGCCTGTCCATAACAGTATCAGTGACACTCAGGGCTTTAAATCGCAAAGATCTGAAGCGCATTCAAACTGCGCCTGTCACCTTGAAACATAAGTTGACAAGTCCCATGTGCCTGTCATTTCACCAGCACCCTTACCCTTCAACACCGGAACATAGTAATGCTGACATTACTGCTTGGTGGCAGAAATAGGTAAAGGGGCAGTACTTCCCTGGGCGAGACATATGACGATTATTGGACAATAGAACTTACTATACTTATTTGCGACAAAAATGTCGTTAGCTTGGTAAAGGATAATATTTTGCTAGAGTAGATATGAAACCGCTGATTCTGCATTCGCGATTACGAAGAGATCCCTATTGAAAAAAGTTGTTTTGCTCATAAGGAAAAACATCGGCTGAAATTCGCCCTGCGACCTAACAAACACTCGGTAGACGTTATTATAATGTCAAAGCATGAGTTTGAAATTAGATTTGGGTAATGAACATTTAATTTCCTGTTCCGCCCCAAAACATGGTGTTGATAAATATCTATTATAGGATATTGGAAATGTACAAAGGGCAAACATAGGTTTGGGTGAAGGGAGTGTCGTTTTCAGAACGGTTTTATTTGGCTTCATATTTCAGCACATAAAATTATACAAGTCGATTTTTAGCAGCGACGCAAACAACGCGCGATTGCATCGCTGCACTTGCGATTTATAGCCGATTGCATCGATGCAAACGCGCGGGTGCATCGCGTTTGCATCGCGCGTGTGTGTAAAGGTAGATAATTAGCTACTGCATCGCTAGTGCATCGTATTGGCATCGCTGCTAAAAAGGCTCCGTGCTCATACATATAAAATCAAGTATGCACATATTCAAACCAAAAAAGAACATCAAACATGATAATACTGAACTTCCATCGCTACACACTCTTCTATGTAGCATTACGCGTGCCCGACTATAAACCAAAGGCTAGGGGATAACTTGTTCTTTGAGCGCTAGAACGAGGAACAAATATAATGTGGAGGCACTTCTTAGAATATAAATACGTAAATAAAACGTTTATTGTCTAGCTTCACACATACGCAACGATAAAATACAATAAAGAAATTAAAATGTAAACACGCAGAAATTTAAATTAACAATGGGAACAAAATACACAAACAACGGACAAATTAAATTAAAATACAAAAAAGCAGCCAGTGCTTAATGAATAATCATTAAGAATTTGTTCGCGTGTGCTGCAAGCCAATTAGGTCATAGTTTGGTGCGGATTTTGCCCAATAGCACAGCACCGATTTTGGGCTACTCTCGAGGATAGCGCTTTGCGGTGTAGTAGGGTGCGTTCTCATTATGTCGTAACGTTTTAATTGATCGTTAGACAACTATCGCATCTAGCCTGTTCCCATATCACGACTATCTGTCGTGACTGAGTCGTGGACGTCTATTTTATCTGTCTGGTTGTTCCCACTAGATCGAGACGACAATTCACCGGTTCACGGCAGTCGCCTTGTCGTTTGCACGACAGAATCGATTAAAGTTGCGATTATTTCCCGCCACAATTTTGTCGTGACGTTTTATTTGTCGTCGGACTACTGTCGTTCTAGCTCTTCCCATTGTCACGACAGTCTATCGTCGTAATGACAAAAAAGTCGTGAAGCAGTTGCTGTGCTACCTGACATATCACAAATATTTGAGGAGCTCTGCCACTGCACCCGTCACCTTGAGACATAATGTTGATAAGTCCCATGTTCTGTAATTTTACCAGCATAGCATCCTTTACCTTTCAAAACCAGAACGCCGTAATATGAACATTACTGCTTGGCGGCAGAAATAGGTGAGGTTGCAGTACTTTCCTGGACGAACTCTTGCACAAAGCTGTACTGCTACGAAAATATTCTTAAATGGCTGGCCGGCGATTATTGCGGATAAAGAGAGTGTTTTTAGAGCGGATGGAGATGAAGAGGCCTTTGTTCGATATTTGGACATTTGCATGAAGACAAAGAAGCTAGAAATTCATAATCGGATTCTTAATGAAAAAATTACATTAAAGGTGGTAATTGGTGGGTCCCTACGGTTTTTGCAGGCAGTGGTACTGTAAACAAAAAAATATTTTATAGTGTTATATGATCTATGGTCATTTTAAAAATAATATTTTAGCGCGCATTTTGATAATAGGCGGGAAAGTTTTGATTTGTATGTAGTTCATGAATAACGCCCA